TATTAGATTTTAATCAGTGGAAAAATAGTAGTATCATGCCAAAAATGTTGTAATATAACAAATTTATTTATTTCATTAAGTTACCTTACTCAAGTGGCTCTGTGATAAGTGGAAGATTTCACATATCCATTGAAATTATGTTATACAACTTAAAAAATTATTGTTTAAACACTGAAAAAAGATGAAGTACCTAAAACCAATGGGGCTACAGTTTAAGACAAAAATTCTATCACAAAATTTAAACCTGAAAATAAATTTCAAGCCATCATTAGTTAAGGCTAACGGCAACATGTTTGGGAGAAAGAAAGATAAAAAGTAATAATAAAACTGAAAAATGTAATAAAAACATGGTCACTAACCTTAAACTCAGATGTTTTTAAATGTTTAAAACTCACCAAGAACTTTGAAAGTCTACATAAGGCTAAGTACGTGTATAAACTAAACCAATCTAAAAAAAATGGAATTCAAGCCAGCTCTCACGAATGATTGAGGTATTATATATATATACTTAAGACAAAAAACCAGGTCATAGTTTTGCTCCTAAGTAACACAGACGAACAAAGGCATTACCAAAAGAAAACTAGCTTTCATATATATTAAATTTGTGCATTATTTAAACACAAAAATCTTAAATGTTACTATTTAGTTTTCATGTATTTTCATCTAAGAAAATCTCAAACTAAATGGTCTTCAAGAGATAAATTTAAGTACAGTAATTTTTGGAACTAGCACCAAAGCTGTATACACACACCTATGGATTTTCACTTCACTAGGTTGATTAGCTTGCAAATGCTTTCTTTTGTTTGTAGTAAGAAAGCTACTTCACACAAATCCGCCACAGACATACACACACACACACATATATATATATATATACACACCTTTAGAGAGAGTTACCTCAAATTCAAAATAATACTAGACAAAAAATGGAAATAATGAGAGCTTAAATTAGAAAATATACAGTTGGTAAAGTCTTTGTTAAAGTCTCTGTCATTGTATCTAATTCAATATCTGATTTTGAGTGTAAAATTAAAGTAAAATTCTTGGAAATTAATTATTTCAAAATTTAAGAGTAATTTGTATTACTTACAAAGATGATACTAAAAATATTCATATTAACTTTTAAGCTGTTAAAAATACGTTGTATACATAAATAATTTGAAAATAACTGACAGTTTATTATCACACATGTCTAACAAACTTTCATGTCATTACATCTTACTGACACATAATTTTGATACGTGTAGAAGTAAACAAATGACAACTATTGAACTATTCTTTATTATAGACTATCCTCTTGGTTACTTGTAGCAAACAGAAATAAAACTAATGAAAGTATGGTTATGTAAAACCTTGTTCTAATAACCTAAGACAAAAGAAAGAGGATTACAAAACTTCAAAAATTACTCAAAAAACTAACACAATTCAAAGTTTGTAGTTTTTCTTACATTTTCTCTCTCTGTATCTTCTCATTTGCCCTGTTTAATTCAGCTGTCATTCCTGTTGCACTTGAATGATTAGTCTATAGGAAATAAATATCTCACGTGCTACACATCAGAAATTCAGAAGAAGAATTTTTAAGAATGCTAAACAACAAAAAATAAATATTTTGTTCCCACTTGTAACATACACCACTGAGAGAATATATATATGTATATACGTAAAAAGCTAGTGTTCTGGTAAGAAGAATAAATTAGCAATATTAAAGCAAAGTAAAAAAACATTCTCAAAATTAACTTTACACATACTGTATTTATATAATTGTAAACAATCATTAAGTTAAGTTAGTACTCTAAGAACACCTTTGTTGCTCTAGTTTCGTTTGTTGTTCTTTAAGAAAGTCATTCTATTTTTATTAACAATAGGTGTTTATGAGAATATTAACAGAAAGTGGTAAATAAATTCTTATTTACTTTGATTTCTTTAGATCTATTAGTGATCTGATGATTTTCTTTTTCCAATAATGACATCTGTGTTGTAAGATTTCCTATGGATTCTTGCAGCATTTTAATTTCTTCTTGATGTTCATTTATTTCAGCTCTTAGAACCAAGCAAGTTTTTCAAGCTGACGAAAACTTAGAAACTTAGGTGTTTTATCTTCTTCTTCATCATTGTCCTATTTTCCAATAATAATAAGTAAATTTTAAGGCAGTTAAAAAGCTTGAGGTAAATTGCTAACAAAGACAAGTAAGCATTTTTAACTGAAACAGCATATTTAAGGACACACACAACTTAAACCATAATGGTGTCAGTATGATAAGAGCCAGGTAAACGTAATAGCTTGAAAAAAAAACATAGTATATGAATAAATATAAACATTTTGAAAAAACAGTTTCTGATGAGCAGTTTTAACTGAAGAAACAGAAAATATACTGAAACATTTTATAATTGCCACATGACTTATTCAAAGTATAAAACAAAAAGTTTAAATAATTTTCAGTACTGTGTCTGGACTTGTGTGAAACAAATAACTATTACAGTGAAATAAGTCAGTAAACAATGTTAATTCTATGGTACCCACAGAAGTACATCCTGCCCAAAAGGCAAAACTGCAACACTGAATTAAAAATATTATATGAAATCAACTTGAAGTCATTCTTTCACAGTTTTTTATTCTAATTTGAAATTTATTTAATAAAATAATAGTTTTTTTTTTTGCAATGTACTAAAACAAGTCATACAACTGGACATTTTAAAGTTAAGATATTAGCATCCAGAGATCTAAGTGAAAAATTGATGTTCTATCCTAGTTTTCCTTCTGGGAAATCACATCTATACAAGAACAAAATCTACTACAATGCTTTTCATATTGATTGAATAATTTGATTAAAGATATGTGTTTTGGTGACTGAGTTTTCAGTTTCTGACATGTTAATTTTTTTAAAACTATAACTACTCATCATTCCAATTTGGTGTCCCTAAAGACCATTACAAGATATAATTACAAAACATAGTACTGTGTAGGAAATAAAATTTTCCTCAAATACACTTATGTATAACCTTTACAACTATTACAATTTTCACTGTTTGTGGTACCTTTATACAATCTTCAATTTTATTATACTTCTGAACACTAAAAGTAAACTTTATCAAAACCACTGGGTTTAAATAACATAAAATGTGTGCAATCAAGCTAAAACAATGTTACATAAATATAATTTTAAGATAAAAGTTTGGAAATATTTTACTTTTAATCACACACTAGGCTGAAAACAAAAGGACTGAAGAAAAGAAATAACAAATATATGTAACATTGTATGTGTTGGAATCTCCAAAAGATTTTTATGTTTAGATGTTAGCTTTTTTTATGTAGCTATCTATTGTCATAATAATTCTTTCTTTCAAATACATTTAAAGTCTTTGTAGTTTTATTTAGATTCTAAAAGAAATTCTTTACTCACAACTTCTTCCTCATTCATTAGTAGTTTGTTCAGCAGATCACTTTTTTCAACTTGTAAACTGTGTATATAAATTAAAGACAAATTTGTTTTTATTAGCAATAAATTTAAATTACAAAGATAACCTTAGGTTTCACTTATAAATAGATGTTAAAAACATTAATAAAATGAATAATTTACATCTCTTAATCATTTTTCAAAATAGTGATAATCAAGAAGTACTTTTTGTTTGGATTTCAAATATATATTTCATGAATTTAAAAGTAATCCATATAATTTTGAAAACTAACTTCTAATCAAATAAATCTTAATTCAAACAACTACTTATGTTTTTAAATAAAACTAAACTAAACAAGTAAGATACATATAAGAAATAGAAATATAATATTGTTCTGGTTGTTTCTATGATATATGGTATATATATCATATATCTATGGTATATAAGCATATCATGTGTTTTTTACCTCCTTGTATTAATTTAAAAATTTAGAAAGAAGATCATTAAATTACTGTTGCTCTAGCTACCTACTGTTCTATGTCATTCACACAGAATAGTACTTTTTGTCTTTCCATGGTAAAGATAGCTGCAAAGTCACCTGTAGTATGTGTAGTTAGATAGTTATCTTTTTTATAAACAGTCAAGTGTTCTTTTCAAGTAATTACCTCTGTTATGTTTTATTGGGAATGACCAGTCATGTGGGAAGAACTAGTCACTTTGGGTAAGTCTGACATTAATGAGTTATGTAAGTAATGTGAAATTTATTCAGTCTGGAACAGAATTTCAAAAGAGTTAGCTTCCTTATGATCTCCTTCGAATAAATTAGAACAACTTCAAACGTAACTCTCCACTGGGACAAGTAAAGTAAATTTTTCACTGTGTTTGTTTAAGTAAAGATTGTTTACTGCGATTGTACATTTGTGTTCAGTCTCTTTATTTGTTGAAATTCAGTTAGATAATCTATTACAATAATATTTAGTTTTTGTTTGTCATTAAAGTGTGCACACACCTTACTATCTAAATATGCATGTGCATATGCTTATTTCAACTGATGTGAACAAAAGTGAATGTAAGTATACTTTAGTAGACATTTTATACAACAACATATTAAAACTAATCAAAGTTTTAAAAAGGTCTAACATTAAGTCATAGAATAATATTATAAGCTCATTTACTGATAGTATTAACTACAGTAAAGTTTAGTCCTGACTAAAAGAAAAAATGTAAATGTTATATTGTTAATTTATAAGCTGTACTTAATAAAGGTTTAATTAATATTAGGCCTAAGACAAGTGAACTTATAGATTTCAGTATCATCATCATCATCATCATCATAGACAGCAATACATCGATAATTCTACCGATGCTTAGCTGCCACACATTCATGAATTATTATTACAAGAAAATGGGGACAAAAGTGGGATCTAACACGCCATGAATACGGAAATGGTGGAGCACATACAGGCGGGGGCACAGCATCTAAGCCATGCATACACAGATTTCAGTATATGCAGTTAGAATGCTCTTGTATTATTCTAGAAATCCTGTATTTAAAGAAGTACTGTTGCAATAACGATATTACTTTTGACTGCAAATGTTTTGTGAGTCTCTGCTAGTACAGAAATATTTTACAGTAAATATCTTAACATTTCTCCCATTATTCAGTAAACCTTTCTTGTCATTCTTAGATGAAATTAGCACAATCTAAAAATACAAAGAAAATATAGGAAGTAGAATATTTTGTGATCAGAGGATATCCTATTTCAGAGTTTTCTGTGTTTTATCTGATATGTGTATCATCATAGAGTGATCAGAGGATATCCTATTTCAGAGTTTTCTGTGTTTTATCTGATATGTGTATCATCATAGAGTGATCAGAGGATATCCTATTTCAGAGTTTTCTGTGTTTTATCTGATATGTGTATCACCATAGAGCAACACTTTGGAGATCAGTATCATACAAATACCGGAAAAAAATGTGCAAAAATCAAGTATGATGTAGGGATGGCAATGCCAAAAAGTACAAAAACATTGTAGGGATGAATACACAAAACCACAACAAAAATCCCTATATAAGTAGCCAGTACGTACTGAGTCAATCTTACAAGCTTATGGTTATTAGCCAATGTAAGACTATATAGCACTATTCAGTTTAAATGTTTTTATTCAAACTTGAATTCATACAACTGTCATGAATTCAACATTTGGTTATAGATAAAAGTTATACTTGTTCCCATCTTTCTTTTTAAACAATTTCATTGAAATTATGTTGATATATATATATTGTTAATATCATATCAGTTTCTCTAATTTTTACTATATTGGGGCCACTGAAGCTGAAATGGTTCCTCAAGGATGGTACAAGTACCCTGGAGTGCTGGATCTACATTAAGGGGATATTTACAGAATCCACACTTCCCAACTTACTGCACGTGCATAGAATTGACTGGATTCACATGCTAGGGTCATGTCTATTAACAGGAAGGACATCATACACATCACAGGCTATGAAGTATGATACCACATATACTCTCACACAGCTGTCAGGCTTAGTCACACTGAAAAATTTGAAGAAAGTAGACCATTATATAATGTATTGTTTTGATAACTAAGAAACTGGTGTTTTTAAACTCAGACACCAATAACATGTACACAGATTTGTCATTTGCATAAATCTTCTTGATACCTTGAATATTAATTACATTATTCTTTCTTTATTTCTTTTTACTAAAATTGTTTTCGCAGATATCATGTTTGTGAATGAAATGTCACAAACAATTGTTACATACAGAACAATTTATGCTGCCATCTAGCAACCACAATTGAAACTGCTATTTAAGAAACATGGAAATAATATATGCTTATAAACTGAACTCACTGCTAAGTAGTAGATTTCTTTTTTATTATTTACCCACAACAATAAGTGTGGTATAAGAACAGAATAATATTATTGTTATACAAGTTGTGAAACACTCTCAGCCCATTCCTCCATACTAAGCACTACTGATAAACATTCTATATGTATAATATAAAACTTGGAATGCTATGTTAGCCAACAATATTAAAAGATATTGAGTAAATACTATTACTAACAAGATATTCTTTAAAATAACTAATGACATATGGTAACATAAAAGTAAATGATGTATATACTATGAAAATGCTAAAACATGACACATTACTCTCTTAATAAAAAAATCCTAGTAATGTCACTGCTACATATTATCTGGGATATATTTATATAGCCATTTTAATGAAAATAATACTCTGAAAACCAAATTTTTTTTTATCCTGTGTTCACTGCACTTCTTGGTTGCTCCCTTACTTGCAACACTATCAAGAATTCTTACACAAATTAAACAAAATATAAATCTCAAGCACATTTTTACAGAACAAATGTTTAAATAAAAGACTGTTATAGATTGCATTTACACCATATGATTACCTTTCAATAATCTGAAATATTTCTAACTGCTTCTCAGAATGCTCTTCTAAGGCTTTACCCTGCTTTACTAATTCCAACCTCAACCGTTGTATTTCCTTTTTTGCAGAGCTAGGAAGGTCTTGAGTTAATTGGCTGATTTCTTTAACTAATTTATTTTTCTCTTCTTTTAACAATTTTGTCTTTGATGATAAAATTTCTTCATTTTTTTGACACCTAGAATAAAGAAATAATTTAATGAAAAAAGGAAAGATTAAGGCATCATTTGAAGTTCACTTAAATAATCCATCTCTGTTTTTAACATTTAAAAGCTTCTGCAGTTCTTGCATGTAACTACTGAAAAGTAAAGAGAAATAATCACGCTTTATTGGAACAATTTGCATATACTAATGAAGTGGCATGTCACTGTAGATCGGAGTTATGTCAACATGTTTAGCACCTACATACTTGGTTCCCAATGCAATGCTGCCATGAATACATATATGCCTCAAAAATTTCCAAGGAAGGAAATTCACATAACAAAATACCAAAGAGAAACAAAGCCCAGTGTACATCTATTTCAAAGATGACTATCTATAATATAGCAATTAACATCAATAAGAAAAGTTCATTACAACCATTTGAGGATTTAAAAACCACCTAAACAGTATCTTATCATATGCAGGACTGCCACTACCACTGCCATAACTTCACAGGCTGGTCATCTAGAAACTACTATCTTTTACCTAGAAAGTGACTGTTGAAAAGTTATAAATATCCCCCAAACCATGTACTATTAAATTCACACAGATCTTGCCCTTGAGTGGAAAAGCTGACTCACATATTTATTAATGAAAGACAAACTGAAGAAAATTGTGCAAAAACTTCCTTGCACAGGATAGAAGTTTGTTACAACATCAGACAAGGCCTGTACATACTTGAATGACTGCAACAAAAAAATGGGCAATTTGTTACTTACCATAAGGCAATGTGGAATTTCAAACAAAGTGTGGAGAGTTTCTTATGGTTACTTCAGGTTTCCCATGTAATGGGAAACTTAAACTTTGCACAAGAAAGAAAGGGTAACTCCAGTTACCAATTATGCCAATAAAATTCATGCACTGCAGATTAGTGTCAAACAAAACATCTAAGAGCACAACAGCATTCCTATAAAGAATAAGCAGATTTATGCTATTCTCTTTTTCAACATATACAAAGGTGAAAATTAAGCCACCTGACATACTCGCAGATTTCTGTGCATTTATTTTGCTTAATCATAGTCTAGAACTGCAGTCTTTGGCAACAGTGCATCATGGCCATCAGACTGAGCATATTGTTCTCATAAACTCCCTCCATGCTGAAAGAGTATGAGTATAAAAACAACAAACAATTTATTGGGTTAAAAATTAAATAGGTAAGTTCCATTCTGGATTCAAAATTTACTCATGAAGTTATTACTGCTATTAAAAAAAACCTCTCAAACTTAAATTAAAACAAACTAATTCAACATAAAAGACTAAATTAGGCCGTAATTTAATTTTAATAACTAACATTGATAGTTTTAAATTTTGCATATTATCAGTTCAGTATTTCACAAAAGTATTACATATTTATAGAAAATGTATGTATAAGGAAAAATAGTTAGTGAATCATAAATTTTCTTACTCTGATAATAAACTTTGTATCCCTTGAACATTTTTCTTTAGATGTAGTGCATAAGTTTGACTCAAGTGACCATATTCCTGCATCTAAAACCAAAGTATACAATAAGATAATGGGCTCTATACATAAACAAACTAGAAAATATAAATAAGTACTATGTTTGTGACAACAATCCACTCCAATACACTATAAAAAATCTACAAAAGTATGACTAAGTTTTGATTCTTTAGTTAAATAAATAATTTTTCAGAGGGACCAAAAATTTAATATCGTCACGACTCATGTAAAACTGCTTTTAATCAAGTTGTTACATTTTTATCTGAAAATATAAGAAAACTGTCATCATTCAGACAAAACAAACCTTGGAAACCAGGAAAAGACAAAAGAAAAAGAACTAAAAAGGCTAGAGTACATTATTACTAGATGGTTATGCTGAAGCAATATTCATATATAATTTTTGTGTAACAAATAATACAATAGTTAGCAAGTATTTTTTATTTGCCTCACATATTAATCCTTATCAAGATAATAATATTTTATAGCTTATTTGTAAATACAATCCATAGATAATCATGTCTTTCTTTTTGCACAATGCTTCGAAGCTGTAAAACAAATAAACTTACGAAATTTAATAATGCCTAATAATGACACTAGAAATAAATATGGCTAAAAGAAAAAAAAAGACAAGGACTGATTGCACTTTATACCTTGTCTAAGATTAATACTGGATCTTTTTCCAAACATTCCTCATCTTCTGCCATCTCTTTATTGTTCTTTCAATGATGCAGTTTTCGGTTTCATTTGCTACACTTGGCCTAAAAAATGGAGGATTTTTTCAGGGTATTATATAAAATAAATGTTTGTAATGATAAACTAAAGGTACTTCTCAAATATTTTATAAACTCAATAAAGAAAACAATTTTTACATATACTATCTACATAAAGTGTTATAATATTAGACTGTTTTAAAAATGTTCTATAATGTCAAAACTTTCAAGATTTCTTAAATGGTTTATATTTGATTATCTAAAGGTATCTTTAAGAACTGTATCACCATCATTTTACTATTCAAATAATCTATGAAGAAACCTAAAATATCTTAAGACATTTGCAATAATCACGATAAACTATGGCTACAAAAGAAATGAATATTTACGATAAGAAACATAGTGTTAAGAGTATTTCTTCAAAGTTACCAATAACAGATTTTAACCCATATTAATTCATGTTGTGAATTTGTCTGTCCACAAACTCTTCCAATGGTTTTGGATTAAACTTCACAGACAGGCTCAGGGTAACTTGGAGGTGTCCCTACTATATGGTAACTCAACTATTAAAAGGGGCTAAAACATGCCTGAACAGGTCATCTAGGTACGTTGGGGACCTAGGAGTACGTTTTCATGGATATTGAACCTGAATTTGGCATTAGATGCTGTGTTCCTAGACCTTTCAAGATTCTGGGGATGCCATGTTTGAAACAGGTACAACAAGTGGTTGTTTTTTTTTTTAGGTATGAATTCTCCCTTTGGGATAGCTGTAGAAGTTATTGGGGATAATCAGAGGAGCTTGATTGGTATACTGGGTTCTCTGTGAGAATCATGAGTGGGCCTTTGAGCCCTGATACAAAACAGTATTTTATATTATTATGGTAGAAAAGGCATAACATAGTGATGAAAAATATTCACTGAATATATTTATTGGAAATTGTCATATAGATTACCCTAATAAGTACAGTAGTTAAACAACGTTTTAGTTTCAATCTTTATAGTGATTTGTTTCTCTTTCTTTCTAAAGAACTACAAATTAAATATTGCACATAGCTCTTGCCAAACTGTTATTGCTATTAACATGTCATATTATTATAACGTAGATATTTATTAATGTTATTTCTATATATATTTTCCAAAATTATATCACTGTTTGACGTTGCATTTCCCTGGAACTGCAAATAGCGTTCACCGTGACTCATGAGAGAATATGTCATTCTACCCCATCACTACAGCAACTGCCTGAACTGGCATTGGATTTGGAGGAAGCAGAAGGACGCACAGCAAAAGTGTCGTGTGTTATAAGGCTCTATGGTTATTGTCATGGTATAAATGTTAGACCAAGTTACACTTACATATAACCTCAAGCTTATCTGATCCAACAAAATTTAATAACCACCTATTCACAACCAAGCCTTTGACTTGTCGAGACTACTTTAAATTAAACTTTAATACTTTGGACTTGACCTAACACTGACTTTGTAACAGTTATACTTATACGACGATGGTGAAAAACTTACTTACAAGTTACAATATTAAAAGTCAATCAAACTACATAATAAATCACCACAATTGCTATATCAACATCATCAAACTTTTCTTAATTATCTAGCTGCGAAGCCCATGTGATTTGAAGTTGAACTTTGCAAGTGATGAGACCTATATTATCGTATGATAAACATAATTTTCTCTGCTTTAAAAACAACTGAAATTCGTCCTATAGCAGCAGACGACGGTAGAACTCGATATTTAGAGAGTGACCTCTCTAAATTGGATGGAAAAAGTTACAAGTAATTTACAAAAAAAAAATGTATTGTAAAATCCTATAGTTAGTCTCAAAAATCGATATAACACAGTAGTTCATCAGAGCTGTCTAAGAATTATGTTTTACAGCAAAAACATTTAACTAGATGAACTATCCTTTAGTTCTATGTAAACAAAAATAAGTATAGCTTTATTTTTAAAAACATAACTCAACAGCTCTATTTACGATTGTATTAAAATTAACGTATAAAAGATTATTTGAGGATGTCTTATATTATTTATAAATGATTCTGGTGTTACATTTCTTTACTATAATTTGAAAATATATTACAAAATAATACTAATTTAAAGAATTCGTCGTTGTAGTTAAAATGAAAACTTCTAGGCTATTGAATTAAAAGAAGGTTTAAAAATTATAACTATTTTGGTGAACCTAACAATAATCGTATTAATAATTTGGAATATTATTTCTGTTTATTGGCCAGTAGGGCAAATGCCCACCTGTCCCCTAGTATAATAACTCATTGGACCTTCGATTTTATTGCCTGTTTATATTAAAGCTTTAGGTTTAACTTTAGATTAGTAATTTATTTCAAAATTGGAATTACTCCTATTAAACAGCAATAATGTAAATTACGAAACATCGATCTCATGGTATTGTTTAACCAGAAATTAGTAGAAGATGACATACATCTTCACATATTGATACACCAACTTTCCCGTGATAATACAGTGATCATTATACAATACTGTGTTTCATTAGCTAAAGTTAGAAAAGTATCATTTCTCTATTCTCTGACTAGATGTCTTTAATCAACTATTGAACCTATTTTTTTTCAAGTTGTTTGTTTGATCTGCTGTACTTTTAAACACACATTTCACATGACAAACGAGAGGTTCACCCAGAAAGTGTATTACAAAATGAATATGAATTGTGATATTGGCTGACTTTAAACAACAGAGAGACTGGACACACTGTGATAAATAAAAAAATAATCTTTATTTGTAGAAGCACAATCAAAGTCACAAGTATATTGAACAGAGGACAGTGTTTTAGCAAAAAACTATAACTTAGTCTAGCTGTTGAGAATTAAATGTTAAAAGCAAAAGTACCCATCCCCAGTGACATAAAAAGTTGAAGTTAATCTATCAGTTTAAATTATTTTATGGACTTTAAAAAGGTTATTTCTCTTTCACTCAGAACCAAAGCTGTGAGCTACTTATACCGCCCACAGCGAAAGTAATTGTTGAGCATTTCAGTCATGCTAAGAGCCACTCAACAATAACATACGGTAAATCTATACTTTTATTCTTTAAGTTACGTCACATATGGAAATGTGAATGATACTGTTTTTAATTTCAGACAATTAATGCAGAATACCTGTTTGCGAAATAAAATTTGAGAGCAACATTATCTATGTCTGTTCTCCCGTCATTTCAAAAGTGAATGTTAAGCTTTGTCCTGCGTGCGCAACGTAACGCGGGAAGCGGCTGCCGTAAACTGGAGGCAGACACCACGATTCGCAATAAATACAAGATTGTCGCTAGATCACCAAGAGGTTAGACAGAGAAGTCGAGGATATTTCTCCATTGCCTACTGCTCACGATGGGGGCCCAAAAGAGCGGCAAAATATGTGTACAAAATGTATCGAATCAGTACAGAACGTTCAAGAATATATTCATCCACTCTCAATAACTTATGTGTGTGTACGGCATCATTTCAAAAACTATTTGAAGGAGCACATACTAATTCTTCCCCAGAACCCATAATGATTGTCAGTGGCTCTGAATATTGCTCTACGTTGATCTTTTTCAGACTGACATAATTAATGGGGAATTGTGCTCTAAGTCATTCGACTGATTTTTACTGAAGTAATGTGGAATAATGGAATGGCACTGTATGTATTTTAAATGATAAATTCATATTGGTATACATTTTGATTAAGGTGCTATTCCATAATGGAATGGGAGTACATGTCTTTTAAATGATACATTCATATCGATATAAATTTGGATTAAGGTGTTATTCAATGACATCACAACTAAATGTAACCTTATATGAATGACTATTATAAAAATGGAAACAGTGTAAAGCCAAATAAATTACTCTCTACAGGCATCATCTTCACGTGCTGGATGGAGAAAATTTTCACTGTAGCCTTTAATACAACTTAAATATTTGTAAATCTTATTAGTTTAATGCAATACTGCAGCTTTAAGAATGTTATTTAGCTTTATAATGTATTTATGAAATAGTTCTCAATGTAACTATACACCTTCTGTACTGCAGTATACATTAAAATAATCTCAACATAGCTTTACACAAAATTTAAATTTTCTGTATTTCACTCTACATTACATGAATAAAATACCTCTTATAATAAAGTTCAATAATGTAGTAGTACATTTTATTTATGTATTTTTTGCATTTATTCAGATCAAAACAACAGGATAAATGCAGTAATAAATTAATATTCATTACACTGTTATCCCATCCATAGAATAAAATGGGAGTATAAAGTATTCTTTTTCTTTAATCTGAGAAGGAAAACATGAATCATTTTCAAACATTATTAAGGAGTCTGCAAAGTCAAAAAGAAAAATGGCTAAAAAGCTTGATACAAAAGATTGGTGTAAATTTCACTTCATCTTATTCCTTTTGCTTTGAAGTATTTTGAAGAACAAAAACACGCACGATTGGTCTTTCTTCGCTGTGTAAACATGTTTTACTTCATTTTGTTTAGTCTAGGAGGTGATTCTCAGAAGAGGTCATCTTTCAAGATTCATTCAGCACCCTTCGAGGAAAAGATTGGACCTAATATTTTATTACAGCAAGCTTTCCTAAAATGTATGTTGTAAAGTCAAAATATAACATTTTGTTTTTTTAGAGTACTGTATGGTCCCAGACAAGATGTACTGAAATGAAATCAGAATTACCACCCTTTTTTTCTATCAACTATAAACTCATAATTAAACATCTTAAAGATTTTAAATTTCCAGAATTAAATCCTCCAATAATAGTCTTTATTTATGAAGAGTTAGAAGTGTAAATTATCAACTAGGTAGAAGCTATGAATAAAAATATTACATGCAAGATCTATTTTCATTCTGCAACTTCATTTACAAACAGATCTTTCTAAATATAGACAAATTGTAATTTACAATACTTTTGATCAGCACTTAACTAGAGTAAAAAGTTTTTTTTCTAAATATAAAATGGGCTTAAATTTTACTTTATTACACTCATTCACAGTCAATAAAATTGCTACATTGTCAATTCATATTATTGGGTCATATTCTCAAATTAAATCAACAAGATACAGACTTATTTAACTTTCTTCACGACACAGCTTGCTTTGACCAGAAAGGTAGTCTAATCAAAATTTGCAATAAGTATTACCTACATAAACATATATACTTACAATCTTGAATAGTTTATGAAAAGCTTCTTACGTTTTTGTGATACAACATTTATGTTATGTTGCACAGCTTCTGATTGGATATTACTGAATTAAACGTCTTTTATGTAACAATAAAAATCAGTCACGGTTCTTTATGGCTTTTTTGTATGACTCAAAGGATCACAGAAAATCAGATTGCTACCACAACTTGCATTTAGAACATAACTTAAGATGCTGTTTCGTACAAATCAGACAAATGGTGTTGAACAAGGCTTACTCTATGTAGAATAATTCCTTAACAATCATGGTTTCAAAACAAGAGGCAGAACAGAATAGACTAGGAAAATGTCACATTCATCAAATTTGTTTAACCAATTAGAAATCAGTTAATTAAAAAAAAAAAAAAATTAGCTATTTAAAAACAATAAACGAAACATAGCATAACATGCAAGAAATATTACAACATTGTAACTCAAAAGTTTCAAATACAAAAACCTTCTTACATTAATAAAGTTTGGTTTGAACAACATTACTTAGTTTAGTGGAAAGCTACACAATGGGCTATCTACATTCTGTCAAATCCTAGATTTTAGCATTTGATGTCCAGAAACTTACTACTGACCCATCGGAGAATAACATATACTAACAACTTCACAGTGGTTTCTAATGTATTGAATAAAATTTTACATCAATAACATTTCATTTGATTATGTGTTTACGCTTTCTGAAACCTCGTATCACATTCTTCAAACACAATAGTGGAAGAAATGTATATTATTTAGATACAAGTGATCTTGATTCATAGTCACAGAATGGAAACACAGATAAAATGCTATTACTTTATTTAAAAAAAAAAATACATGTTAACAATGACCAAACATGACGTAAGACTGTCCACAGAAGTGTGCTGCAATTCTTCCATTTTGCAGTCACTGTAGAAATAGAATAAAACATTATATGTATTTAAAAACGAATTTCTAATTTTAGGAAAAACATATAGAAACTTAATAAAACTACAATACGACATTTCATAAGACCACAAAATTTCACAAACCAGTTTCCTGTATTTAATACCACTACTGACAAAAAAGTAACAAATGAATACATCAATAAGCATTTACATATGGATTGTTGTATCACAGACACATAACTAAAGAGGTTTGTATATATGATATAATACACAGTGATGAGTGAAAAATTTACCAAATCTTAAATAGCCAAATGATGTCCAAAACAAACAACATTAGAATTCTTTATGACACAGATATGTCTAATTCTAAGACAAGAAATTCATAATAACGTCAGAAAATACAAGCATATTTCTTCTTAATTATCATTTACACTGAGAAAGGACACTTCCTAGTCTAGATGTTCTCTCTGAATGAGTTTCAAACAAGTAAATAAAAACTCCAACACTTTTATGCAACCAGCTTATTCTACATTGTTTTAGCTACTTTTTATTATCTAATTAAGCATACTTGGCGAGAGTGAAAATCTATAAATTGTACATTTATAGTATGTGTTTACCTATATTAGCATAACTAATAGAAAGCAAGGTTCTCATCTAGCAAATATAGTATTATGTTATGTTGTATTCTGAATGGAGAATTGTAAATTTCTCTGTTAGTACAAGCTTTGTTCCCACAGGAAAGACAACAACTAGCTTGGGTGAATTTGTAACCCCTCTTGTTGCATAGTTAGAAAGCCAGAAAAATTGTGATAGTTAGGGGAAATTGTCTGCTTTTTGCACATTATGATCTATATTCTTTAGTGCATTATTTAATTAAAAATTATTTAGTGCATTACTACCATTAGTATAGAAAAAGGAGGGTTAAGTGTCATCAACAGTTGACAGAAAAAAAGAAGTTGTTTTTCATGTTTATTCTTTATATATATATATTATTATTATTATAAAAAGTAACTTAAATGCAAAAATAAGAATCTCTTTAGGTTAGTTAAGGTTAGATTAGGTAAAATAAATAAATTATAAAAATCTTTCAAGAAGCACACACACAAGCAGCTCATGGGTAATGTAATTCAACAGTGTTACTTGAGTTCCTCATTCCCCAAGTGATTTACAATTTATAATGGTGCAAGTAGTAGTTAGACACTTCAAAGGGCAATAAAACAATAAAATTCAAGTATAAACAGATGTATACTCTTACAAGTTTAAAGCTACTTAGGATAAAGGAATGTTGTTGCATGTTACAATTTGAAGTCATTGTAGAAAGAAAAAAAAGGAAATTTAGATTTATTTTGGTGGTTACAAGTTCAAACAAATTGATCAACCTTGTATAGAGTTAGTGTAGAGAAAATAACAGATAAAATATAAAGTTTTACTGAAAACAAGCATTTGAAATGTACTTAAGAGGTTTGGAGATTACACAAATGAAATTTGAGATTTTTTGAGATGAAGAAAAGTATTTTTAATCTTAACACAAAAATCACTTTGCACATGGAAAAGTAAAAAAAACAAAAAACTAGATATATGCATGTACAAATCTTTTTTTAGTTTATTAAATGTACTTCACTGAAAAATATGATTTTTGTATGTAAAAGACCTATAATGTTTACTGAAAGTGTGCAACATTTTTTATAGATATACATACCACACTAAAAGTTAGTAGTATCAAAACTATAAAGACTTTAAATGAGTACAAAGAAGTCATGTGATCATTCAATTGATCTGAGCCCGAGTTGAGAGAAATATAGGGGTTGGCTCCCTAAAAATACTGATTGTATAGTGTGCAAACTATTGAGTATTCTACATGTTACAGTCATCTAATGTTCACCTATTGTTGGCTGGTAATTCCCATTTCACTATGTACTCAAGCTTTTTAAAGGACCACTATATTTCTTAAAGAAATCTAACTTCAAGGGGTAATGATAACATTGTTTACACTAGAATTACATTTTTTTGTTTTATAATTATCACTAGTTATTACAACTAATAACAAGTGATAATTACATTGTGCACTCTCCAGAAACATATAAATTGGATTTAGGTTTAAACTAACATTAGCAATAAAGTAGTTGTAGAGTATTCTTGACTGAAACAAGAAGAAGAAAGATGAACAATTTGGTGAGTTGGTCACTTTCTAGTTTGTTATCTTAGCAATGGTTTCTTGCCTTGTTTTTGGGCTTTTTGGGTAGAGAAGGAAATGAAAGTGAGTGGCCATAACCTTTTAAAGTAAAACTCTCCATCACTGTTGATTTTTTAGTGTAAATACTTGCATTATGCCTATTGAGTACCTTGGCCATCCCTAAATAAAGAGTAAACTGGCTCTATGAATAATTGTGGGATGGCTTTACCTAAACACTTGCTTTTGCTTTACAGAGCTTACTATTTATTGTTCCAAAACTTAAAGCCAAGAGAAAGCTTGAAAATCATATATCTAGAAAATTAATTTCAAAAAATCTTTTAAATATCACTTATATGCCAGTTTCAATGAGCAACAAATTTCCAGTTAGACTAGGAGACAATAGCCAGCTGTTAGTTGTTGATTATGGAGCTTGGAAAAAAAACATTATTTGTTTAAAGATTTAGTCTGTAACACATACTTTAATATCAATGTCACAATAACCTTAGAAACATGTAAAATCATATTTAACTAACTTACCAGTAGTCCCCTTTCAGTTCTTTCCAGACTTCTTAATACCTCCAGGTCCTACACAGCATTGTAAATTTAGTTATATGTAAACAGCTCGCATTAATAATGTTTTCGAATAACCAAGAATCCAACAATATTATTTTTATTCATACTTAAGACCTAAAAGTCATCAGCTGGTGTGGACAAACTCTTTTAAAAAACATTGATATATTTTTCATTTTTTACATACTACCAATTTAGACTTGTCTAAAACACACATCACAAAAGGCTATTTTAAGTAACATACTCGATGAACACTAATGAAATCTTAAAACAAAACTAATGTATACAACAGTTTTAAAATGTTATATTTATCACATCTGCGTTCAAATGAAGCAAATACAAGTATACATTATTCATTACTTTTCAATGGTAAATATTATACATTTTTTTTTCTCTGAATATTCTTCATCTGCTTAAAAAGATTAGAGCAAAGTAATGTTTTTCCTCTACAACAAATTAGAAAAATATTTTGATACAAGTTGTATGCATAGGTGATGGAATTGTTTGACAATGTTTGCCTTGTATTTGTCACAAGAATACATAATTCTAAAAATTACATCATACTATTATGAAAAAAGAACTTTACAATGAAAGTACAACTTTCTTTTACTTTTAAATAGAATTACACTTGAGCAGTGTCTGTAACCTTCAAATGTAAAGTTGTTACAAGAATAATAAATCAAATGTTGCTGATATACATTATCAGTAACATTGGATTTATTTAACTTATTTCACTAGGTGTAGGGAGAAAAAATTACTTGTATTGTAGTCTTCAAACTTTAAACAGAATACCAAGTACATTAAAATAGCCCTTAAACAATGAATGGATTATTTTGAACAATAAAGATATCTTGTTAAGTCAATAGAAAGTAAGAAGTGGTCCCAACAAACTTTTCATGCAACCATCACTATTAGAATAACAAAGCAAATAGAAACTAAACTTGACTCATTCTAGTGATATAGTGAATCCATAAAGTGAGTTAAGTACGTTATATTAAAACAATTTTGAATATCCAAATTGTAAAGCTGTGTGATAACCACAGCTGATAAAGTCATGTATCAGAGCTATATTTTGATGTTGCTTTGTGCTTTGTAGGCATTGTGATGTCATCAAAAAATTATCGCTTTAAGGAAGTGTAGGTAACAGCCTTTTCCAACACAAAATATCTATATATTCAAATCTTAAACATGTGTTCCAAGTTTTTAAGATTGGTATAACCCTTATGCTTAATAGTATTGGATCAGTGACAAAAACCATCTGTGTGTGTCACAGGCAAGACAATTAAGAATGATCTCCATATGAAAAAACAACACAGATCACATGTCAACAGTCTGCTTCCATGATATATCTGTTTGACTACTGAATACCTTTTGAGCAAATGAAAAATGAAATGGGTATTCATGCTGTTCCACTGAAAGATACCAATGATGTCATCAAATGCAATGCCTATAGTTTTATATGATCAGATTATTGAAATGGTTGCTGAAAAACAGCAATCCTTGTACACTAATGTATTATGGATAGCAGAAAGGATAAGTGGAGTGCTTTGGACATGACATTCTAGAACAGTCTTTTGTAATGGATACTATGTACAAGGCTATTGTCAAGATTCAAAATTATCAGATAAAGCACGACTGGACATGGTGACATGGACTGTAACAATATGGTGAGACTCAAATTATTTTAATACAAAGTACTCAACCTCTATACAAGTTTATTTCAGTGGTCATCTTATATAACAATAGTTAAGCTACAACTCAAAGTAAACAGAACTAAATAAATATATGTCTTCAACAGAACTATTTTCAAGAGTTTAAAAACATTTTGCAAACAAAATATATAGTTTCTTTTAGTTTATCTTTACATACATTTTATCATTATTATAAGGTTTCTCTACTCACTTAAAATCAATCAATTCTTTGATAGTCATACCTGTGATCTAGGTTCACTATCGAAAACAGATTATGCTAAAGGTAATTTAAAATAAAAACAGTCAATTATATATACAAAGGTTTCTACCTAATGGTCCTTTCTTTCCCTTGACTGAAGATGCAGCTTCTTTCATAGCTTTTTCTTGTTCTTTCTGTTTATTTCTAAACTCAATATCAGCCTAATAAAAAGAAAAATCATAGACACCTTTTAGAAAGTTAAAAATATTAACTTAAAGAAATTTCACAAGCTTAAGGTGTTATAACTAACTGAATACTTACATATTGTCAAAATATGAAGTATCAATTATCTTCCTGAAAAAGCTTACAAATAGAATTTCCTTTTATTAATTAGTACATATTGAACAATTACTTAATCAGTTTGAAGAGGAAGGATTTCTCCTGTTAAAGCAATGATATACCCTCCCAATCACCTACTATATTCCATGGATTTAAAGAGATGTAAACATAATTTTAACTATAAGCAACTATACTAAACTGTCTTATAACTCCAGCAAAGGGTTTCCAACTATGCACCATTACATGTAGAACAATATTAGCAAAGAGCTAAAGTAGAGCACATTAATGAAATATAACAAACATGTAGTGAACAGTTACACGTAGAACAACCTTCTAATGTACATATCAGCAAGTCCTAAAGTAGGGCATGCTTAATGAAATATAAGAAATGTGTAGTTAATATCATATGCTGATGGTCACTGATTACGACTGTTAATCAACATTTTATCCATTATCTTAATTCCAAGTTTACTACATGTATCCGCACAAAAAGAAGCAAGCCTTTAGTCAAATACACGAGTCTTCTGTACACATAAATTAAATGTGTTACAAACATATCTGGAGTCAAAATATGTCTGTAAATTGCTGAAGTCATACTGACTAAGACTCTTTTGAATTGGAATACAAGGTGATGTTCGCATGAAGAACAAATAATTTTGTCCATCGTACAGTTTGCATATTGCGTTTTCATAACTTCTAAAAACCTCTGAAATGCATATCTATGGTGTTTTTCAGTATCTTTCTATGCTGTATCTGATACTACTTTCCTCTACCACAAGTTATCACTAAATCAGCAATGTAGGCTAAAATTAATAGTTGACAGCTCAGACACCTAATACATAATAACATGTTAAATTATAATCTTTAAAGAAACACAACATGCATACTTTGACCTTCACCCATACACACAGGGTTAAAAAAACATACAACTTAAGAGTCGCATGCTGATGGTCAAATGATTATGACTGTTCATCAACATTTTTATCTGGTTCAAAAAACAGTTAACTATTAACAGCTTGATTTATTAATGAAATCTGATTAACTACTATTTACACACTTAAGTTGATATGTAAATCTTTTTTTCATTCTCATTTTAAGTTATAATACAAGAAAACATAAAGATAAGGAAAGGCAAAGTAACAAAATCATAAAAAACATTAAATTTTAACCTTTTTACCAATGCAATTTATAAGTAGTCATTACATTTGTATAATAATCAAAGAAACTGCATGTACCATATCACCTCTTTCATTCAAGTTTGTATTTCCAGCCTCTTCATTCAAAAAAGAAAGCATAAGCATATGTGATAAACTGTGATGAGAATGACAGTACCATTTGTATTTAAATCTCACAGCCTTGTTGCTTTAATCATACATGTATCAGTTAAAATCCAACACAAAAAAAAGGCTAATTTAATTGCCCTTTCTGTTTTCTTTGTATTTTGTTCATTATTAATACAGTGAATTTGTATAGCTTTGTTTACCAACAGAAGGCATCAAAAGTCATAGGGAAAGATAAACCAGGAGTCTTGACAGAAATGTTATGCAAAGATTTTTAGTCTAGGGATCCCAGGAAACTTTTAATGATAAATTAAAACCAATTTTATTTTTATCATAAAACTATAAGCCTAATCATGACATTCTTTTTTTTTTCATAGACCTACACAGTAAAAACAAAAGATACACTAAAAAAATAAATAAAACATCTTGCAACAGAACTGTAATGTAACTGGCATACAGTATTTCTAATGACACATACAAAGCCATGTTTAATGTTGGGTTAATGCTTATAGAATGGCTTGAAATAGCAGTGCAAGAAAGCCATCTTTTCCTAATAACTAATTCATTATGTTTGTAAATTTTATGCTTTGACTTAAAGTGAACAGATGATCCCTGGTTGAATATGATTTTATTATTGAGTAGATAGTTTAATATTTTATCAAACATGGATTATATTTTTTCTTCAAGCTAGAGGCATATTAAAAATATGTTATGCAGAAAAATCTATGGGAAAAGTCATGGGTATATTGTAGATATATATGTTGGAGAGAAGAAAAAAATGTAGTTCAATCTAATACAAGGCTTTTTAATATAAATACAATCTAGTATGTACTACTTAAGAACAAAAACAGATAAAACTTTTTCCTTTTAATCTTTCTTTCATCCATGTTCCCTTATTACCTCATCCAATGTTTTTTGCTCCTTCTTGGGCTGCTTTACAGGTTTTTTCTTTCCACCTATAAAAGGAAGAAACAATCTTCAGAATATTTTACTTTAATATTAAATTAGAGAATTTACTTACAATAAAAAACTCTTTACTTTAAAAAAAATAATTTATAATACAAGTATAGTTTATTAACGTTGTATCACAATGGATCTAAAAATACAATTAACTCACCAAAAGACTCATAAAGCTTGAGCAATTTTGAAAAGTGCATCCTTAATAAGTCATAACGGTGTTTAAAAGAGATGCTCGTGTAATCGTATACTTATACAAATGTCCAACAATAACGTTTTTATAAGATAAAGGTGAGGAAGCACTAGCTCTCCAAAATAAACATTAAGATGGTTAGGAAATGCTGCAATCTAAGTTGCCACTGATCTTAACTAACAATTTGTTTATGACTAGTTATTGTCTAAGATATAAATTTTAGAGCCTTGATAGTAACTAAATGTAGTTTGGTTGGAAACTGCAGCTGTCTATTTTAAAAGACAAAATTCTGAAGAAAAAAAAAACCATAGTTCAGACACATCATAACAGAAAAATGATAACTCTGTAAAGTTTTCCTTCTGAAATTAAACTTAGATGATATGAAATATTGAATTCTAAGATATATCTTAATGCCAAGTTTAATGAAATACATTGATAGTAAAATTGTTTATTTAAATACTGATTGTAACTGTTTAAAACATCATGACGTGCACCTTGATATGGCCATAGCAATAGTTAAGGCAAATTCAAAGAAAAAAAGGTTATGAGAAATGTGAATAATAACAAATTCTATACACTATATTTCAAATATTTAAAATGGCTAAACCTAATAGATATGTAGAAATAAGGAATAAAAGTGTGAAACTCATTATCAGGTACAATATTAAACATCAACTAGAGCACCAATATTTAGAGCTGGTTGATTACATATGAGTATCAGTTACATTGATTAGTTTCAAATAAAATGTAAATTATGATTAAATCTATTACATCAAATATATAATCAATTAATAAAATCAATGTTTCCAATTACTACTATTTTTGGTTATTCCAATTATTCAGTAACTGAAATACTGCCATCACGATTTTTCATAATTTATGAATTAATTCATGTTTGTTCAGCTTAATTTTATAGTGTATGCAAGAGAAGAATTAACTAACTGAAATGAGGGCTTTTGATTATTTCAAGAACATATATTTGTTTCTAAGCACAATGAGTTGTACTCTGCCCACCACATGTATCAAAACCTAATTTTTAGCAACTTTTATAATGATGCTTTCCACAAAGCATAACTAACTGGAAATAACTTGAAATTATAAAAAGCAAAAAGTCCACATTATCATATATTAAAAGTTTCCATTCTACCATTACAATGCTTATTTTTGTCTTAGTGGATAATTAATTTTTTATTGCTATACAGTATTTCTGTATAAACTTCACAGCTTTGTTTTTCAAGAATTTGAAATATATGACACTACTCAGGATATTATGTTAGGCAATGCAATTCTCACTTGATGTCATTGCTAAGTAATGAGCTTTCTCATTCATAAAAATAGCTTAATACCAACTTTAGTGTATTTATATGAAGCCAATTATTAAAAGATTGCTTTCTTGTTCATTTCAAAATTCTTTAAGTGCACATAATTATCAGTATAAAACTCCAAATGGGACAATTTAAAAACAAACTTTTGTAAAGTGCACACAAACACTATATTGTTCAGATGATGCAGTAACTGGAAACAACACGTTTATATAAAATATGGACAATTGACAGTTATTCAGGGATGGTATTAACTTATAAAAATTCGTTGCCAACAGAATATTTGGAAAAGCATTTATTTTATGGATAATATTAATATACTAAAAGTACATAACTGTGTATACAATTCATAAAAGTAATTTTATTTCAATAAAGCTTAAGAGTTTAGAAGTTTAACAATACCTTCCTTTATGTTATTAACTTAGTTTAAGTAAATGTGAAAATAATTATTTTATTAATTTTAATTTTGGTAGCTCATATTAAGAATGCACAATAGATGTACATAATGTATGGTGTACGTTACTGAATGATAATTATATAAAAAACTATTATACATTATGTGGATCTTTCTTTTTGTACTTAACCCATTAACTGCAGATGATGGATATTTCCATCATTGAAGTTCTTTGGCTCAGCTGCTAATGACGGAAATATCTGTCAGTCGCACATGTATAACTATGCGAATGATGATAATTACCATTTTATTGTGATTGATGGCAACTCAGTTTTATCTGCGAGTCAGAAACCAGCAACTGAGCTGCTCCTGCAGCAGTTAATGGTGAAAATGGGAATAGTATGGGGCACATATATAAAATATGGCAGGGTAGTAATCATCTTCAGCCAGTAATCATCAGGAAATAGATTGCCTTGACATGTGGTAAACACAGTTAACTTAAGGGAAGGCTTCATAAATATTCGAATAACGTTTGGCTTTGAATTTAATTTTTGAGTTTAGTATAGTGAGTAAGACAGCTTAGATGGACCATCAACTTTATATAAACACATGCATAAATCATCTACAACTACCATTTCCCTAGTGTATTTGAATTGGAAGTCTATTTGGGCAGCTATGAATTAGAAACAAGGACTTCAGCCTATAATCCATAGGCCTTATTGAAAGTAAAAATATACTCTGAAGGGGAACTTGCCTAAAAGTACAAACATAATTATCTTTGTAGAAATTACTTCGCTTTATAAAATTGGGAAAAGAGGAGGGGTCAACCATTATGAAATGGGCAGGTACACACAGTTCTTAAACTTATAAAAATAATTATACAAAAATGGGATAAGCCTTCATTATCTCAACAAATCAGAAATCCATACTTTTAAACTCCTTAATAATGTAAATATGGCATATGAATGACCCTGCTAAGGTTGATGGGATATGCATTTTAGATATCAAAACAATAACTAGTAATTAAAAAAAAAAAAACGTTTTGCAGCCCTATTTATAAAAGTATGCATCATACTGTCCTTAGCTTTTTTTTTTTAATTGACTATACACAAACATGTTGGCATATCATTGAACTAGGTTCTGGTTTTTAAATATAGACAAATTTCACATACATCATTAAATATGTTGCTGTTTAGTATTTATTCCACCACTGAATAAAATTATAAAATCTTTACAACAGTTAACACAAAACTTTAATTTTCAAAAGTCAATCGCAGTCCTAAGGCTAAACCAATTAATGATGAATTTATAATATTTTTTATTTCCTCTTCTAAAACTAAAACTAGTAAAAGTAAATTTTACTCTAGTCTCTACTCAGTAATAAGCCATCTCATTTATATGTTGTAATAATTAATATTATACAGCAAGCCTACACTACCACATAATACTACAAACAGTGCAAGTAGAGCTAGGCGACCTACACAGCTATAAACTACAGTACAGGCTATAATTTCACACACAAAAACGTTGCTGACCCTGTGAGAGTTCATAAGTAATTTGTAAGTTACAACAGTAAATTAAATATTTTTTGTATTGCGTATAACTTTTTATGAACAAACAAATACCATACGTTTTCAAATTGTTAAAATAACACTCAAATTTACCATCTCTTCCAGACATCTTCACAAAAGAAAACAAATATATCTATCACACAATTTTTTATAGTAACCCTAGGCCTAATGTTCGCAAAGCAAGGTGACGTTCGCAATCATAAAATCTCGAACTAAATGACACTTCCACCACACGTTCTTATAAATACAACAAACAACTGGGGAAAAATAAAATAAATATATTATTTATTTCATATGCCCCTGATAATGATAAAACACAATATTCCTGCAAATAATTCAATACGCATAATGTTTTAGGTTCGATTTAGCCTTTCATCACGAGCCAAATGAGTAGCATAGCTTTTAATAGTAATATCTAAAGAAACAAATACTAACTTTGCCTAACAGATTTTTCTCAATAATTGAAATAATATTCTAATCAAGTATTTTAATTTTCAATTATTTCAAAAATTATGAAATATAAACAAATCAAACAGTAACATAATAATAATTTTAATTTTATATTGATCATTAATTATTCTTGCTCCCCAATGGCACAGCGGTATGTCTGTGGACTTACAACGCTTGTGTAGCTTTGTGCTTTTCTTCAAGCAAGCAAACAAAATTGTTTTTATTGTAGCTACATTTCATTTTTTGCTTTTTTAAAGAAGATTTTCATAAGCTTAACCATGAATTAATCTCCAGCGGCTCAGCAGTAAGGCATGCGATGCTAAAAATTGGTTTTTGGTAACTGTGGTGGGAAAAGAGGAGATAGTCTATTGTGTAACCTAACAATAAATAAAATTATTTCAAATCAGAAAAGCAAATAATAATCATTGCTAAAAACACAAAGTAAAACTTAAACATGTACCTATAGGTTCCAGGAAGATCTCAAACACAAGATTAGATGACACAAAAGACAAAAACAATGACTTCATAACCGAAGACATAGTTTTGTGTATTAGGATTTAAAAAGAAAAACTTTTCATTCTGTGTTTGAGCAGAGAACCGGTTTCAGTATTATTAGCTTTATGGCAGAAGGAAATCTGAAACACTACAGCTATGTCTCATAAATTTCCTATTAGTTAGGAGATAGATAAATTATCAACTTTACTTTTTGTAATAAGATCACCAATATTACACATCAATTTGTGCATACATAAAATATTAAAAGCAAATATCATATTTCTAAATTTCCGTGTAAACAAATTATAACAAACTTAACTAACCAGTCTTTTCAAGAATCATGCACATTTATTTTATTTACATATTGAAATTTGCTTGGATAAGATTACGTCGTTTTAAAATTTGAACCTGACATTGTAATTAGCCTCTAGCATATAGTTGTAAGCTACATTTTCAATGTTTTAATTTAGGAGGGCACATGATGTTAAGAATCCAGAAGCTTCCTGTAATATGTAGAAACAAAGATACGATATATAAATGTGAATAATCAATAATGAGTGAATAATTTCAGCGCCAATCAGTTAGTAAGCTAAGCAATGAGTTCATAAATATTGATTGACTCAGTTCAGTATCAGAAGAGTTATTCAATGTTAGTAGTGAGTGTTATCGTATCTATTCTGCTATTCAGTTACCCATTGAGTTGCAATTTGTGTTTATCAATCACAGCTAAGTTAGGCGTAGGTATTATTAGTCTCGGAAGTTTTGTTGAAACGTTGTATATGAAGCTAGACCCATAAGTGAACTTTACTGTACCAAACGCTTATTGAGGGAATAAATGTCATGGATTAGATTTAGCATTATGTTTTAACAAGCAGTCCAACAAAACCCGCGTCCCCAAGATATAACAAGTTGTAACAATACAAGTGTAAACTATTTTTAAATAAAAAATCAGGAAGTAGGAAAATGAGCACCAAAAAATAAATAAACAAGGTAGGAATGGGCAGGATAACATTACATCACTTGGTGGATTTTTACAGGTGCAACTTCAAAGTGGGTATGGCCACAATTTTATCCATTCCTACTTCGTGTGCTTTTTGTAATTTGGTAATTGTTCAAACTACATGAAAGGTGTTTATAGCTAAATTGTTTTGTTTTAAAATTTGTTTCAGCAATCAAGTACAGATACAAGTATGTAATCAAATTACGTGACCCTAACGAAATTTAACAGTGTAAGACTAGAGGGAAGGCAGTTAGTCATCACTACCCATCGCCAACTCTTGGCCTACTCATTTACCAACGAATAGTGGGACTGAGCGTCACATTATAACGCCCCCGTGGCTGAAAGGGCAAGCATGTTTGGTGTGACAGGGATATTAATTAAAAGTAATTTAAAAGAAATGTTTTATAAGAATGGATAATATTTTAATAATACAGAAAACAACGTGCTGGTCTTTTACTAATAATTAAAGAATATAAACAAGACCATTATTTTCAAAGAAAAGTTTATTAATACTGTATATATTGCACTCTCATCATTACAATAGTCCAAACCACAACAGTTAACACAATAAATCAAATTAATCGCAGCTAAATGCAATAAATCTATGTAACCCAAAATTTAAATCAATAAATCAAGGTGAAGCTCTTTCATCATCCAAAATATTTAATAATTTCATCCGTCTTGGATTACTTGCTCGAGTAAAGCAAGTAATCATTGTATTTATGTCTATGTTTATGTTTCTATAAACATTCAACAAGGCGACACCATTTAAACTGTCTTGTTTCATTGTAGAGCGCAGATAACTTTTGATATTCCTCAGTCAACTGAAGGAACGCTCACATTCGCATGAAGTAACTAGTAAGGTTGCGCTGACCTGGAACATAATATACAAGTTCGGATAAAATAAAGGGAGTTGGGAAGGTCAGACTTCCAAGTATTCCATTTCTGCTGATACCATTCCAGTTCTGTTTCAAGCCATTCTGGTGATGGAAGATCACTAACCATTGACTCTTTATACTTCAGAACATTTTCTCACCATTCTGAGTCATTAATCAATAAAGATGGAATAAGAGAGAGACCCAGAAGAGCATGTTGTTGAGCTGGCGAAAAACGAGTTTCGCGTTCACAGAGCAAATGGTCAATCAAAGGAATTGTGATGGTGCGATGGAAATATTCCTTGGGGGGAATCTGCTGATATGCTACATATATTAAGTTGCTTTTGTTCATACGAGGCAGTGATGGTCTAGGGGCATCGACTCATTCAGCTAAGGCAACAGCTTCCGTGTACCAAGTGTCAGTAACTTTATCAATATCACCATGACACTGTTTAATAATACAGATAACACCGTTTATCTCTGACATAGCTGTGCAGATGTCATTAGAGAGGTTTTATGTAGCGAATTGCATTGCGACACATAGTAAATGACATCAGAAATTCAAACTGCGTTATTACAAGGACAATCACATCAATTTTATGTTTGTATGAATTATTAGACTGACACCAGTTTCCCCTAGCGGTGACTTACAGATATTATTAATATTACAAAAGGGTATGTAAATAACGATCACGTGATTTGTAATATAGTGAATAAAAACGTCTTATGTGGTTTGGAAAGTTAGTTTACGAGAGGTAGTGAATACGTGTTTTTGATAGATGTTATAATTATTTACCAGTTGTGTAAGTAATATTGTTTTGGAATTGGGATATTTTCTTCTTTTGAATTTTTTTTATAATTTCTTTATTTATAGAAATATTAATCATGACATTGATGGTATATGTTTTTTTTTATGTTACAAGGAAGTTATTGCCATAAACGTGTTTATTCTGTATGCAATTTGTTTGAAAGTTTTAATATCTGACATCTGTGGCAGTTAAAAATGGAGTCAGAAAAAGGACTTTTTAAAACAATCTACCAAAATGTCCACCAACATGTCGAACCGTAGATGAACGAATACCACAATTCTGAGAGGCTTTCGAAAAGGGTAGGAGTGTGAGGTAGTAAATTCTATTTATTTTGTTATTGTTTTGTTTACCATTCATTTATTCATTCTGTCGCTTAGTTAGACTCTAAATTTTAAACTGAACTTAAACGTTAATTCTCATTCTAGGTAATCAAACCAATTTTAAGTTTGTATGAATTATGAGATTTACACCACTTTTTCCCTAGTAGTAGTAGTGATCTGCAAGTTACAGATATTAACGTTGGCAAAGAGCAAGTAAATAATGATCGCGTGAATTCTAATTTGGATAGCACTACGAATAAGGAAGTGTTACATTATATGTATGTCATTAATGTGCAAATGAACTGGTAATTAATGTTTAAGATTAATTGATTAGATGTAACATTAAATGTGGCTGACGTATAGCAATAAGTCCGAAGTTCAGACAGGGGGCGGTCTATAAATAATCTGAAATGTAGCTATTCTGCGAATAATTACAAAATATACTTTCCAACCAAAATAAGCTGTGTGTTCATTATACTTTAAGTTTAACATACTTGAATACGTATGGGTTTTGTTACTCAACAGTCGTTAAAAACGAATTTAATTATGTTTTACTTTGCATAAAGATACAGAAAGTTAGATGTATATTCATCACTGTCTCTTTCTCAAGATTTGCGAGTACATAAGGTACCTATTTTCTGTTTCGAAATGACCATCTTCTGTTTGGAACTGCTATTTGTCCACAATATCAATTTTAAACTACAAATGTGTAACTCTCCAAAATCTAAACCTAGTCAATTCTTCAGCATGTAATCCTTAAAACACATTAAAAAATATAACTGGTATTATCTATCTTACAATTTTGGGCTGTTTTCTTCAAACTTTTCCGACATGCAAATCCCATTCACAAGCTGACAGCTCGATAACCATTGATATTTGGAAGTAACTCAAACTAAAATATAAATAAATTTGATATTTATAAGGAATGATTTATATAATCAATCGTTTCGATTTTCGAGAAGTGGAAGGATTGTGAGATAGCAAATTCTATTTTTAGTTCATTAATGTTTTGTTTACTATGTATTTATTCCTTTTATCACTTGGTTAAGCTTCCATTACATTTAAACGCTAACTCTCGTACCAGTTAATCGCATTATTTTTTAAATTTATAAGAATTGTGAGACTGACTCCAGTTTCCCCATATCGGTCACGTACAGATCTTAATATTTGTAAAGAATATGTAAATAATGATCACATGAATTAATCTTTTGATCTAACTAGTTAATTATAGCAGCTTAGCTTGTCTTTGAATTACAACTTCCTCAACAAGAGCCGAAA